TCTAGTTTATTTGTAGTACTATATAATTTTTACAATCTAGCACAGGTTTAATAGTGCTATCTTTGTTTCTTTTCTTTATTTTTTATTTTTTTTCTTTTTGTTATTTGTTTTATTTAATTTTATTAGTTTAGGTGGACCAGAACTCGATGCTGTAGTATTTCCTCATTTTTATTTTGCTCTTTATATTTGTGTTTGTATTTCATATTAGAAAAAGGAAAGCTAACTTTGATACAGTATGTGGCACCAGCCCATGACTAAAGGATAACCTCTAGTGAGTTAGAGGCCCAGAAAGAGGCTTGAAGTTCACTGAGGCAAGTTATACCTGGCGAAAGCATGGGTACGTCACTTTACAGATGGATTAGTTATAGCTATTATTAGGGAATATAAATTTCTTAGTATAGTTTAATTTCAATAAAAAGTGGCAGGACAGCCAAATTATAAAAAAAAAAATGCATGAAAGTTAAAAATCGTGGGTTTAATAACTTATCCAACTGACTTGTATATGAGTCAACTTAAAGCAAAGCAAGCTCGAGATAATGAAAGATTAAAATAACTAATTGGTGCAGAGATAGTAAAAAAAAAACATTGTAATATGAAATTTTGCAAGATTTTACTATATCTTAGAAAAATGAACATTATCACTGCAATGTTAATATACAAATAAGACCAGGAAATAAATATTTTATATTGAATCAGATATTAAAGACAAAAAGAAACTTACCTCCTGGATCATTTGAGGATACAGTTACATATCCATTAGAAGCTCTTAAAAGATATAAACGTTTAAGTTGAATATAATTAGGACTTAAGAAGAAATGTAAGGTTAGTGAAAATCCTGATCACATGATATTGTGTATGCAATGTAGATTATCATTAAATATCATTTTATTTTTACAATTTTTTTCAATATTTTAGCTTATGGCAACAAGCGAAACAAACAAAAAAAGTTCAAGAAAAAGACATAGAATCTTTTTAAAAAATGATGAAGAATTTAGTTCAGAAGTCAAAGAAACTCAAACAATAGTAATAGCTATTAGTGAGGTAACAGATACTTCCAATAAACAAACCTCGATAGCTGTACATTTACCAAGTTTAAGAAATGTACTTCGAAATAAAAATAAGAAATTTTCTGAAATATTGAATTACTTTATCAAAGGAATCGAAAAAAATAATAGCCACTATGAGGCTACTTGTAGTTATTGCTGAAAAAAATGATTGCAAGAAAAACCAACACAACTAGAAGCATATTTATCAAATGACTGTGTTAGTTGTCCAGATGACATATCCCGTTATTGGAAAGAAAAGGTTGCTGAAAGAGATCCAAATTATAATCAAAGGCTGAAAAAAAACTGTACACTACCAAACTCTATACCACAAACAACAATGATTTTCCATTATACATCAGACTGTCCACTGTCAAAGACTATGATTAACTAGTTTGATCAAAAAATAATCAAAGTATAGATAATGGCGAGGATTCCTTTTGATGTCATTGACAATTCATTTATTCAGAATATGTTCAAAGAACTTAGCCCTGCCTATAGCCCACCTTCAAGAACAACTTTATTGAACTGATTGTTTAATAAAGAATTAACACAAGTAAATAAAGCAATTGATGATGATCTAAATAAGGCAGAACTTTTGATATTAGGTTAGTATTATTAAATGTTATTTATACTTCATATTAAAAGTTCGAAAAATGTGATTTTTTAGTATGGACTACCAACTTATAGTAATTTTCGATTATTAAGCCCTAAAATTATTAATTAATTTTATTATAAAGCCTTAGATGGTTAAACATCACCATTAACAGAGTCAATTTACAATTATATTGTCATAACAGATACTTGAAAAAAATATCTGGTCGGATTAAAAAATTATTCAAATCAGTCATATATTGGTGAATTTTTGGCAAGTGAGATATCAGAAGTTATTGAAAAGCTTGGTTCAGACAAATTTGCAGCTATTGTAATAGATGCAGCATCAAACTGCAATATTGCACACCAAAAAATGCAAGAAATATATTCATATATCTGGAATGTTAGGTGTGCTGCACATGCTATTAACCTTATTGCAGCTGATTTAGTTAAATTAGAAAGTATAAAAAAATTAATTAGTGATTGTGGAAAAATCAATCGTTTTTTTAAAAACTCATATTCAAGCCATTCATTACTTACGAGAGGTTTTGTAGATATGAAGATTAAGGGTGATAGGTTAAAACATAGGTAAAGACCCAATGAAGATCTTTATACTTAACTACTGATTCAATGATTTGTACATGTTCTGTATTCAACTAGGTAAATAAGTTACTATAATACTATAATAAAATATTATTATAAATTATTATTACTAAATAAAATTTTATTATTAGATACTTTCTAACTATAGGGAATCAATTACTAATGAAGAAGTTAGTGATTTAATATTCAGTAAAAGTTTTTTCATTATCTGTCATTTTGTACGTTTGGTATAGCAATCTATCAAAGAAATTATTCATATGTTAGAGTTTAATAGTGCGACATTAACCAACTGTTTCATTTATTTAATTAAATTAGCTGCAGCAATTAATAACTTATCCAAAAAAAAAAAACTCTTTCTGCTTATCATCTGTACACAAAATTTCGTCACAACAATTTTCACATTTTTCTCAATTTACGGAAACTTT